AGTAGTTGCTTGATCAGAAGAAGTAAATGAAGAAGTAGTTGCTTGATGAGAATATGGAATATTAATTGTTATTGTTGTTTGATTATCATTTGCTGAATTAGTAGGAACACTTGATATATGTTTATCAGCATTCGCTTTGTTTTTCAAAATACGTGTACGATCTATACTATTCGGATTGAAAGGAAATATTCCAGCCGTTGTAAAACTTTTCACTACATTCATTCGTGTTCTAATAGGATCATGTGTCCACATTTGCTTTAATAGTGATGGAAATTGAGATTTACTAATAGTTTTGAAATGTGTACGAGTATATTCATCTTTCAAAATACTATAAAGAAATTGTAAGACATTTATGTTTAGGATATTTTATCTTACTTTTTCCATTGAATTTTTAATGGACTAAAAAATACAATATCCAATAGCAGACGGATATGGCTCGCATTGGATGGAAGACAAAGAATAATTCTAAAAAGTGCAAAAAAATCTTTTCTGATAAAGTGAATAGAATTGATTTAATTTAAATATAGACATATTTATTTCGTGACATACACGGTATTTTTGACAGCAAGTTTGAGGGTTTGTACATCGAAATGACTGCCATGACCGTCGACAATTAATCGTAGTGGACGTGGTAAATCTTTGATGTGTTTCAAGAAGATTTGATCAAACCATCGGTAGAACAATGTTTGATCCATCCATCCGCTATTTCACAAGGAAACGTTCTCAACTGATCCATCGCTTTTGACCACATATTTTGCCCATAAGTAGGGAATCTATAGACTAGAAGAGCCCTAAGAGGATATGGGCTGATGTTGCAATCTGGCTGAGATATTAAAATTTTACTCAAATTTCCTTGCAGGACGCTGATTTTCCTGCAAAATCGTGTTTTCGAATTTTGACTTGAAACTTTGCCTACATAAAGCCCTCAATTAGACTAGCTTAGGAAAAAGATTTCAGAATTCTTGGACATAGGACCACTGAGATATGAATTTAGGGTGTGGGTGTAGGTGGGTGAGGGTGATGGTGTGGGTGAGGGTGTGGGTGTGAGTGTGGGTGGGTGTGGATGTGGGTGTGGAATATGGATCTTCTCCTTACCCACATCCCACCCACACCCACACCCACACCCACACCCACCCACATCCACACTGACACATCCACACCCATACCCCACTCACATTCCACACTCACACATCCACACCCACATTCCACACTCACACATCCACACCCATATCCCACACCCATGCCCCACTCACATTCCTCACTCACACATCCACACCCACACCCCACCCACATTCCACACTCGCACATCCACACCCCACCCACATTCCACACCCACACCCCACCCACATTCCACACCCACACCCATGCCCCACTCACATTCCTCACTCACACACCCACACCCACACCCCACCCACATTCCACACTCACACATCCACACCCCACCCACATTCCACACCCACACATCCACACCCACACATCCACATCCACACATTCACACCCACCCACATCCACACCCCACCCACATCCACACCCACACCCTTTCTCTTTCGAATGATGAAAACTGCAGGTCGATAGCTGCTTTCGTTCTTGAGTTATTAAAAAACAACGAACTGTATTCTATTTTGAAATGGATAGTAATTTTTGTCGTACTTGCCTCTTTTATATATATATATATATATACATAGAGAAAAATGATAGCTTTTTCTCTTTCTCTTAGTCGTATAAATACCATTAACACAGCTGTCAATATACGTGATTTGAGTTGCACACATTCACAAAGCAAAAGTACATACAATATTTCTTCGAAATCGTTGATAAACTACAACCATCATGGGTAATAAAGGAGCCAAAATGCGTGGATCAACAGCATTAACTTCAAGACGTTTGTATTTTTTTTATTTTTTTATTTTTTTGAAAATAATTTTTTTGAAAATTCTAGAAATTGCTATGCTCCAAGCAAATACAAATTATACGGAAAGAGGTAGATAATATTTATGGTTTTTTATTTTGAATTTTTTTATTTAATTTATTATTATTATTTGTAGAAATTCGAGAATGGCATGAGGTTAGTTAAATAGAAATATATACTCATAAAACATATTTTCATTTATTTATAGGGCTTTCTTCGTGATTGTCCTAGTGGTCGACTTGATAAGAAAAAGTTTCGCGAAGTCCACAGGCAATTTTATCCTCAAGGCAAAGTAGACAACTTCTGCAAGTAAGATAATATCATTTTTTTGTTTTGGTTTAATTTCGAACTGTTTTCTTAATGTTTAGACATGCATTTGCTACATTCGATCAAAATAATGATGGGAGAATTGACTTTGATGAATTTCTTTTAGCCGTTTCGGCTACAAGTCAGAGTAATCTCGATGGTCGACTTTCAGTTGCATTTGATATGTGAGCTTTGTTTTTTTTGTTATTTATATCATTGTTACATTGTTGTCTTAGTAAATAGGTATGATATATCAGGTGACGGATTTATTAATAAAAAGGAATTGACTAAGATGATTACAGCCATGGTAAATTTTAGCCATATATATTTGTTTTATAAAGGAAAAAAATTCATTTTATTTTTCAGTATGATCTTGTTGGCGAAACTAATCGTAAAGGTGAGAACGCTCCAAAGAGACGTGCTACTGACCTTATTGCAAGAATTGATGTTAATGGTGATAGAAAATTAAGTAAACATGAATTTATTGCTGCGTATGTATTGTTAGATTAATCTATCTTCATTCATATATATACATTTTTTTCCTTTATTTATTAGATGTAAAAATGATCCAGTTATTCTCCGATTACTTGCTCCTAATACATAAGTATTCGGCACATCATTTCAACAATTATTCAATTAGACATTTAATATTTTTAATCATGATTTAGTAGATTTTATTATAACATCAGTAGAGAATGAATGAATGAGTCTAATTATCGAAAAATGAATTGTATTCGAATTAAAATTTTTTCAATAAAATAAAATTTATCCAGAACATTTATGATTATGTAATAGAAATACTGATTATTACTTATATTCTAAAAATTCAATTCAGATTCAGCCTCTTGTTTTTTTTCATTGTTTAAAGAGTTTACAACGTCGCAGATTCGTCTCTCAAAGGTTCTCTTGTAATATTATTCAATAGAAACAATCATTCAATATTTCTCTTCATGTTCGATATATATGAAGAAGGTGTTAGAGTACAATGCCTGCAGGATTAAAAAGTGAAACACGATGTAGCTACCCATGTAAAAAAATCGGATTAAAATCGACTACAATTTGATTAAAGATCGATTATAATTAGCCATAATCGATTATAACTGCAGAAACAGTTATTCTACTATATTACACGATTAAAATTGATTAAGGCTGATTTTAATCAATTCCTAATCGATTAAAATTCACAGTAATTATTACAAATCCACTTACGTTGTTGCTACACTATAATGACTATAGCCTATGAACTAGATTGGAATGCTGGTACCTCAATGACTAAGTCCTTATGCCTATACCGTATAACTATATTCCTACAGCTATATTTTTAAGACTGTATTCTTATACCTATGCCCGTATGACTATACCCTTATACCTGTATCCTTATGACTATACTCGCATGGCTATATCCTTTTACCTATGCACTTATACCTCTAACCTTGTCAGGTGCGGCTAATACAAAATTAAAGCAGAGATTTATTTTTGTTTTCTTTGTTTTATGTGAATAGAACTCATCGAGTTACATAGGAAAAATATTGCGTTAAGCATTTGAAAGTTGATTTTCGCTGAAGAAAATTCAAAATAATTAAGAATGAGTTCATGTTTGGATATTTCGATCATCAAAATTTTGTTTTCAAATAAAATTCATGTGATATTCAAAATTAGCATAAGAAACTGAATGAAATTACATAGATTTTATCACAAAATATTTTTCATCGAAATTCGATCCCTACTTCTCCTATGGCTTATTCGAAGTTATTTTGTAGGAGTACTCGCTCGGATCGAATTTCGATAAAAAATATTCTGTATTGAAATCTATGTTGTTCGATTCAGTTTTTTATGTTGGTTTCGAATATCACATGCATTTTATTTGAAAACAAAATTTTGATGATCGAAATATTTACACATGAGCCCATTTTTAATTATTGTACCACTGATATAAAAAAAATTGATTTTCCAAGCAATGCATCATTATTATTTTAAACACGTACGCAACTTTTTTCACTTGGTATACTAACTGTAATCAACTAAAAATAACTTTTTTATCATTTATGCGAAAGTACTTCATAAATTGGCAATGTGCACAGAACGCCCTTTAAGAGTTCTGCTCATGTTTTGAGGAAATACCGCTCATTTTAGACCATAATAACGGATAATCTAGTGTTTTATATACAGTTTTACATGCAGAATTCCAGAAGATTACTTTTGGAATTTGAAACATCAATAAACATGATGATTTAGCATAATATTTAAAACTTCATTCATTTTGTATGTTTTTGAAAAACTCATTATTTTGAATTTTCTTCAGCAAAAACCAACTTTCAAACCTCTAACATGGTACTTTTCTATGTAACTCGTTGAGCTCTATACACTTAAAACAAAACAAAAAACTTTTGCTTAAATTTTGAACTTCCTGCATCTTACCTATACCTTTATGACTATGTCCTTGAGAGTATATCATTACACCTATATCCTGACACTTATGCTCTTACGAGGGAGTCTCTCAAGTACTAAAAAGGATGTGGGTGTGGGTTGTGGGGTGTG